CTGAACTGGCCTCTGTAGATCTCAATAATGTCTCAGTATCCACTGACTTGTACTTCCTCCTTCCTTCCCTCTCTCCCTCCCACCTTCTTCTCTCCTCTCCAATTAATATCACTACTGCTTATAATATCCAGCTCTGTTCTTTGTATAGCAAGATGGAAAAATGAAAGGGTTAAAGTTAGAGATAGATTCATCTTCCAGAAGGCTGAGGACTGGGGGAATAGGAAGGGATTAATTAGTAGCAATTAATATTTTTGTTTACGGATGGAACACCCTCAACAGCTTTAATATAGGGAGAGTCCCAGAACTTCCAAGAGTTCCATTTTAGATGACCTTGATTTCTGGGCAATTTCTGTCTCTCAAGTTTCACTTCTTTCCTGGATTTACTTAGAATATTTTTGTATACAATAAGCTCTTCAGTTATCCTCATGAGGATTTATTTTATTTGATCCTTATTTATTCTTCATTTGTGGATTATTTCTAACTAGGTTAGGAATCTATTAAGGTTAGTGATTTAACCTTATGTCTTTCCCTTTCTCCCAGTACTTATAGGACAGAACACAAAATAGGACTCAGTAAGTTATTTACTGAAAATACATTTGTATTTTACTTTGAGACAGAGGAAAAATGCATTGTTTCTGTTTGAAATTTAGAAGTGCATTTCAATTGTTTCTTGAATAATATCAAGATAATTTCACTAAGCAGTCTCCATTATTTTGTATTATATTAAGGTTGATTTTCAATATTCATCACAAATTGATATGTTCTACTATGCTATAAAAAACTTAATGGTTGGCTTTTCAACAGAAGCAAATATGTAAAAGGATCATTTTGAAGGTTGGCTGTTTAGTTCCTTTACCCTTTTTTTTAATGTTTTTATGTATTTTTGAGAGAGAGAGAGAGCATGAGCAGGAGTGGGGGAGAGACAGAGAGTGGGTAACAGAAGACCAAAGTGGGCTCTGTGCTGACAGCAAGGAGCCCCACGCAGGGCTCCAACTCACAAACAGTGAGATCATGACCTGAGTCAAAGTCTGATGCTTAACGGACTGAGCCACCCAGGCGCCTGGATTCCTTTATCCTTTACATTATCTCTTTTCCTGTTATTCAGAAGTTTGAGATCCAGCCCATGGAAAGAAAAAAAAATGGCTCCAGATTAATAGGCACCACAAAATAACATTGCAAATCTTTATAGATGTGTATGCAAGGAGGAGTGTTATACAGTGTGGAGAAAATTTGAGTAAGTGAAAAGTAGCATCTCTGAGAATAAAATCATTAGTTATGGTATTTTGGGGCATGTCTTTAAAAAATGCATTGGTAGTAATTTATACTTAAGATTGTGTACTCTGATAATAGTAACTTCCATTTATATAGTTATTTATATGCTTGGAGAGTGAAATGACCATTTCTGCATTTTCCCCCAAGGAAGCTAAAAGACAGTAATATTAAGTAATCTATTCAAACTTACATTGATAGTAATTAAGTAGATGAGGCTCTTACCTGGTTTTTGATACCAAGACCTTGGTCTTGAGACTCCATGCGCATAAAGCTTCAAGATAATTGTATTAACTTTCTCTAAGAGAAATCTCTAACTCCCAGTTCATTTTCTTTGGTCAAATGGACTTACTACTTATTAAACCTGAACTGTGAAGAGCTTCAATTAGTCCTCTCTTCTCTGACATTCACTGTGCCTTAAATGAAGTTTTATACATATATTCTTAGTTTTTATGGGTTATTGGCAGGCCATATTTTAATTCAATTTGGTTTAATTTAACTTATCATTACCCTGAAGTAGTTTCTTTTCTTTTCCTTTGCAACTCTTATTGATTTTTAGCAACATTAGTTGATGCTCATTATATGCAAAACATTTCCCTAAGTGACTTTTTAGGCATTATTCAGGAAATATCTCTAAACATTATCTTATAATTCAAAATTCTCTCAACAAAATTTTTAATAAATGACTACCATATCTCAGGTATTGTGCTAGCATCTGGAGATACAAAGAGATAAAACATCGTGCGGGGTTCTTTCCAGTCAAAGAAAGGAGAGAGACAAGGCAGATAAGGATAAAAATATTACAGATATTATGGTGCTGTGATCAGTAGATAATTCATGCTATGCCAGACATAGTTTTTGTCTGAGTAAATGGTAGTGAACAAAACTATTAGACCATAATCTCTTCCTTCACAGAGCTGACATTCTAACAGGAATATGTGGGGTCACAGCTGACTTCGATTTGGTGGTATTACTTTCTTATTTAAATAGACAAGTTCTAATTGGCATTAAAATGGCTATTAAGAATCAGTTATGTATACAAATGATTGAGTGAACATTGAAAATAAAGCCTCTTTTCAATTTTTAACCTTATACCCTTGAAGTGATGTATAGGGTGTGGTGTAGATGGCAGGTTTCCACTATCAGGGTTCTTTCTGGAACAAGAAAGTTCTTAAAGCTGTCAGTTCTCTACATCCTCACCACTAAGAAAGATAAATTCATTTAAAGCTAAATAAGGTAGAATGGTACAATTTGTCTCCCTTGATTCAGTAGTAATGTCTTCAATTCTGTAGTGTATGTTAGATCAGAACAGATTTTTCTTTCTTAAATGGAAGGACTCTCAAGGATGTTGAACTTGTTTTTTCTGTTGTTCAGTCTTTCAATTCCAATGTAATCTAAATGTGCTTTTTTCGTCTTATTTTTTTTCCCTGTACAAAGATATTTCCTGTAAGTTCACCATACATTAACTTCAGTAAACCATCATATTTTAGGATAAATAGTATCTTTATAAAATGGCATTATTTTTATAATTGTGATTTAGGGTGCTAAATGTCCTCACTGAGCAAAACTTTCTCCTCTCAACCTCAAGTTTTCTTGTGATATCAAATAAGGTAATTAATGAGTATATAATGTACTTTGAAAACATCCAAATGCCAAAACCTGTGAACTCCTACAAATGAGTTTATTCATGTTGTTAATTTCAGTGAACAGAAAGTTTATAAATGTGGCTATACTTTATAGCTCTCATGAAAACAACTTATCTCTACAGAATTTTCTTTTGCTACTGGATTTTTTTTCCAAAAGTACGTTATTTAATCTCCTTTATTTATTTAGTAAATAATTGCTGAGTGTAAGAACCATGCTCTCCTCTAAAGAAATTAGCATATGAAATAGTCCCCATCAAATGAAGGTGAAAGACAACAAAGATCACTGTATTGGGTTGGTAATTCTATGACAGACATATTTTATATATCAAGCTATAATTCTAACCTAGTTTTTCTTTTCTTACCACATCACCTCTCTACAGTACTTCTTAAACTTTAAAATGTGTGTAATAATCTGGGTAGCATGGAGATTCCTGGCTCTACTCCTAGAGAGATTTAGCAGGTGTAGGAATCTTCATTTTCATGAAGACCAGGTGTTTGGGGAGCTGGTAACACTTGAACTTCACTTGGAAAGAGTCCCTTTGTGATCTTTCCCTTTTGCCTGAAATTTTCCCAAGTGAAAGTCCCATATGGCCTCTTCATCTCTCCATCTGCTTACCTCAATGCCATGCTCTCAAGACAGCCAGTTTCAATTTATCAGGTCCATGTTCATTTCATCACCTTGACATGACATAATTCTCTGTATTGAGTTTTTGACCTTGCTGGAGTCTCCTGAGAACTAACACCACCACTAACTGTTGCCTCACCCAGAGACTGACTCAAATGGCGGGGAATATCAGGAAGAAGATGAGAAGAAAATGCACTTCTCATGGTACAATAAAGGAATGCTTTTTAAACAAGATGTTAAGTCACATCAGCTGGGAAATGCTTACCTATAGAAGAATATTTTTTATAACAATTTATAAGTATTAATCATTTAACCTTCATAAAAAAAACCTACGAAGCAGATGTTTATTTTGTTCATTTTATAGATTAGGATGCTGAGGCTCAGTAACTTACCCCAACATCACACAGCTACTAAGTGGTATAGCAGGGATTTGAACTCAGGTAGTCTGGCTCTAGAGTCTGGTGGCCATTATCACTATACAAATTCTGTCTTACTCTTAGTTAAAGGAATGTCCTATGTTTAGTAACACCATTCATATCAAAATGACTTCCAGTAAATTACACAAATAGAAACAAACTACAAAAAACAAAAATCATCCCCCAAGCAAAACAAGACAAATACTACATAGGATAGTATTTTCAAATCAAAGATGTATTTCAACTTCAAATTACAGGAAACTTTTAGAAAAGCAAAAAGAGCCCATAGATGCATAACAATATACAGGAACATATCTCTTGTTCTCAGAAGAGATAACTTTTTTTAAAAATCACTTTTCCCCCAGAAATATAGAATACTACATGAAGAGCATGAATGTTTGAGTCAGAAAGATCAGGCTTCTAATTCTGGCCTGTCATTTACTTGCTTAATGAACTAGGACCATTTGCTTGTCTGAATTAACTCTCAGCTTCCATGAAATAGACATGACAATGCAAACTTTGGTGAATATTAAATGAGAAAAATATGTCAAGTGCTCAATATCATGCCTGGAACATAGTAGCTGTCTCTCAATAACCAATACCTATTCACTAGTATTATTAGTAGTAGTAATTATTATTTTTTTAAGTTCATATATTTATTTTGTGAGAGAGGTGGGGAGGGGCAGAGAGAGAGGGAGAAAATCCCAAGCAGGCTGTGTGCTATCAGCACAGAGTCTGATGTGGGCTCTATCCCACAAACCCGTGAGATCATGACTTGAGCTAAAACCAAGAGTTGGATTCTTAACCAACTGAGCCACCTAGGTGTCCCAATAGTAGTAATTATTATTAGTAATAGTAATGGTAGCAATAAATTTAATACTCTTCATAGAATATAATGTTTAGACAGAATATTTTTGGTGGAATTAATACATTATAAAAATTTAACTGATGTTGAATCTTCCTTTTTGACATCATGATTGCAAAGTGCTTATTTTGCTCCTTTGAGGATGTCTCTTCTGAGATGAACTCATTTATTTTCACCAGGTGATCAACCCTACACTCATCAACTGCTAGCCTTGGCCTCACGCCTGCGGGAGAGTGCTGAACTCTTCCAGTCAGATGAGATGCGTCCTGCTAATGATCCCAAGGAGAGAATTCCAATCCGTGTCCGAATGCTGAATGACATACTCCAAGACATGGAGAAAAGCTTCCTGGTAGAGCAAGTGCCACCAGGTTTTTATAGGTAAGATATGTGTTTATCATCTATATGTTTATGCCCCTCAATTAAATTTTTGTTTAACTTTCAGAACATGTACCTTCTGTGAACTGACACTATTTTTTAATGTAGTTATTATATGTAGTTATATGAGTAATTATCATATGTGCAATTTCAGGACCATTCTCCCCCAAATAACGTTTCGACTGTATGAGCATAGAATAAAGGAGATTGGTTCAGCAGCATCACATAGAAAATGACTAAGAATTTTTTTGACATTAAGCTCAGTATGAGTCAGATATGATATGGCTATTATAAAACCAAATGGAATTATAGGTTGTGTTGGGAAAAATAAATGTTTTGAATGAATCAGAAGATAAGCCTATAGTATTCTTCCTAGTAAGACCATATCTTGAGTATTGTGTTTAATTTTAGAAGCTACCTGTTAAGAGAAAGATATATAAGTTTAATATTCAGGGAAGAGTGGGATTCAGAGGGATCTTGAAACAGCCAGGGGACCAGAGATATTGGTTAGAGGTCACAATAGAATGATTCCTAGAAACATTTTAACAATTTTAGTGAATATTTTAATAAACAAATTTTGATATGGAAGGGTGATTCAATTTTGGCTTTTAGAGGGAAAATGGAGTTTAAAAAATTATAACATGTTTCACATATTATTATTTATTTAAAGTTGAGAGAGAGAGAGAGAATGAGCAGGGGAAGGGCAGCAAGAGGGAGAAAGACAGAATCCCAAGCAGGGTCTGCACTATGAGTGCAGAGCCTGACCTGGAACTCAAACCCACAAACTGTGAGATCATGACCTAAGCCAAAATCAAGAAGTCAGATGCTTAACTGAGCCACCCAGGCACCCCTACACACTTAATTAAGTTTTTGACTTTTCTACAAGACATAAAATATAAATACACACACCTTTCTGTGTAATAGATGCATATATGATGTGTGTATGTCTATAACAATTTAATATGTGTGTGTGTGTGTGTGTGTGTGTGTGTGTGTGTATTTATGTGAGTATGTGAGAAAAGGCAAGAAACAAAGAAGTGTTGGAGGAATAGTGAGGCAGAAAAAATATTTGGCCCAGAACACTCATTAATAAAAGACTTCAAATTTACACTTTTGCACTATATCAATTTATGTTTGTGTGTGTGTGTTTGTATATGTATATAACTATACACACACACACATTATACACACACACACACACACACACACATATATATATATATATATATAATATACAAATAAATATAAATTAAAAATACCCTGGACTGTACATATTCTACATGACCAAAGGACATAACTAAGACTAGAGAACTGAAACATAGGAGTACAAATCTTAATTACATATAAGAAAGAAATTTCTGAAAAGTAGTGTTCTTAAAACACTAAATGTGATGCTTTTATAGGGTAGTGAAATCCCTATCACTGCAGGTATTAAAGCATAGGCTAGGTAACTTTAAGAGCCTGAGTATTTCGACTATACAAGATTTAAGGTGCCCTTTACTACCAAAATTCTGTGATCTGACAAACACTTGATCTCTCTGCATCTCAATTTCTACATCTATAAAATGAGATAGTGGAATGAGACCTGTTTAAAATAAGAAACCTTTCCTACTTCTGATATTTGGTGATTTCCCTTCATGATTTTAAACTTAAATTCTCATTTAAAATCCTTATATCATTTCTGCTAACATTATGATTGTGTATTCTAAGACTGTGGACAATGTTAATTTATTACAATGGATATTTGTAAGCACCAGAGACATAGCAGTTGCCTGAAGTTAATAACACTGGCTCTGATGAGGTTACATTCCCGAGGTAGGGATGGGGAAACAGAATGAACAAGGTAACTAAATAAAATATAGCTTATGGTAGATATAATAACTGCTAAAGAAACAATTAAACCACATTATTAAATTCAGCATTATTAAAAAGTCTTAATCAGAATAGGCACATTGTATTTTTAGAATATACAAATTTCCCTCAGTTTAAATTTATGAAAAATTCAGAAATTAATAAAAATCCTACATTAAGAATATAGTTTTATATATTATGATATAGTAGACTCTTTCACTATTTGCCTTTCTTGGCACTTGCACTCAATATAGAAGACCCCTATGGTCTGGGATATCTGTCCAGAGAACTTTGTATTACCCCTTAAATAATAAAAATGATTAAGAAAGTGATTAAGATAGTGATATTATAGCATACCTGTATCCCAGTGTGCAAGCCTCAAAATGTTGATTATGTTCATGTGCTAACTCATGTAAGAAACTTTAGACTTGAAAGCTTGTGGTTCAGTATTTTGGCATTATTTTAAACTATTACTGCAATTATTAAAGAAATACATGTATGCCATAATTCCCTTTGGCTCCATTGATCCATTAATAAGCCAACAACAAACGGATTACAATAGATAGATGCAAATAGATATCCTTGATTTGAGTTATCTGACTTACCTTTATCCAAAGATGTCATGCATTTTTACTTCATTTCTGAAATATATAACATCATCCTACTTCATGTTTTCTCTTGGTAGAGAATTCATATTTCTAAATATTCTTGAAGGAAAAATTTTAAAATTACAACAAAATTTCTACTCTCAATCCTTGTAAGCTGTTCCTTTATGGGCAAGAAAATGTTCAAAGTAAAAAAATCAGTGTGATAACATCATATGCAGTTTAAGAAAATGGAAAAATTGATTAAAATGATAGCCATATGGAGTAAAGATAAAATTGTTAATTACATTGTATAAAAGAACATTTGGTGAGCAGGGTTCATTTTGTCTAATGTTAAATAACCTTTAGAGATATTATTCACAGAAGAATCTCACTCTTAAACCTGATGGTGTTATGACAATCTCATCAAATATATAAGGAGGAAGTCAAAAGTAATTTGCTTTTTAAGAAAGTTGTTGACAGAAGTTCATTGTATAAAGCTAAATATTTCATTTGGAATTTGGATCATGTCCCAAAGGATACTGCCTCCACCAAAATATCGCTAAACACTGAAACGTTATTTTTGGAATATGTGAAGCAATTTTCTCCACAGTTTGGTATCAAAAGATTCAGAGATTTTGAAATCCTACAATGTTGCATGTAAAACTTGTTGTTTTTCTCATAAATAAACGCTCATTGAACATTTCTCTATGCAAGCATACTGCTAGAAGCTGGCAATGTAAGATCCTTACCTTTAAGGAGTTTGAGTCAAGAGGTAAACTATCTACATCATAAATCAAAAAAATTGGAGCCTACTTATGCAAATTTCCCAATGAATACTACAGGCAAGAAGTGCTGTTAGGGTTCAGTGAAGAGAGAAATTATCTTGTGGTGGACAAGAAAGACTTTTTAGGGGAAGATGGAAATTTATCTGGGCTTTAAGGGAATTGTAGGATGCCCATTAAATTAGGGAGGGCTATAGACTGAATGTTTTTGTTCCCCCAAAATTTATATGTTGAAGCCTGATCCTCAGTGGGATGATATTCAGTGGTGGGACCTTTGGGAGGTGACTAAGTCATGAGGGATTAGTGCCCTTATAAAAGACTCCACAGAGCTCCCTTGCCATTTTCTGCCTTGTGAGGACAGAATATCTGTGGACCTGGAAGTGGACCCTCACCAGATGCCACAACTGTCGGAACTTTGATCTTATACCTCCCATCCTCCAGAAATGTAAGAAATAATTTTGTGTTGTTTATAAGCCACCTAGTATGTAACATTCTGTTATAGCAGCCCAAACTGACTAAGAAAGGGGGAGTTTCTAGGAGAGGGTGGTGTGAAGAAAGACACAAAGGAGAGGCTGTGCATTGTGTACTGGGGAGTAGAGAACAAGAAGTGGGATCGTTTCAATGGCTATTAGGATCATAATTATGGAGAGGTATTAAGGAATCAACTTGTGGAGTACTTTGAATTTTCTGTTGAGAGGTTTGAATTTTATTTTTTACACAAAAAAGGCCATGAAGAAATCTGCATCATTAGGAAGACTTCTCTGGTGCTCCAGATAGGGTGCCCTGGAGTTGGAAGAGAACAGAAACCTTCAGGAAGATTCTGGGTGTAAGAACAGCATGGTGTGATGAGAACCCGATTTGGCATATTGCTATCAGGAATGAAGAGCAAAGGAGTGATTTGGGAGGTGGTGTTAAAGGAAGAATTAATGGGGCACCTGGGTGGCTCAGTGGGTTGAGCGTCTGACTTCGGTTTGGGTCATGATCTCACAGTCCGTGGGTTCAAGCCCCGCGTCAGGCTCTGTGCTGACAGCTCAGAGCCTGGAGCCTGCTTCCAATTCTGTGTCTCCCTCTCTCTCTGACCCTCCCCCGTTCATGCTGTCTCTCTCTGTCTCAAAAATAAACATTAAAAATTTTTTTAATTAAAAAAAAATAAAAATAAAGGAAGAATTAATGAATTTAGGGACTGAGTGGCTTTGAGAATCTTACTTCACATTGTTGTTTAGGATTCCCCTGGGCCTAGCCAGATGAAGCATGAATGAGCGGTGTCCATGTCTCCTCTCCATCCGTGTCTCCAGCCAGTTAGTTCAGACGCTCAGTATCTGAGGTCTTAGGGCAATTATATGATCATTGGTTGATAATCATAATTTCAAAAGCCCCTGCGAGCTCTAAGAATCTGATTCAATGGATAGTCACATTATTAAGCCTCACCTCTGTAATCAAGGCGAATTCTTCTAATGTTGAGGGAGGGAAGCAGGAAACAATACAGTGATAGACTGCGATGGCGTAATGAAAAGCTGCAAAGTGCGCCAGAGGTTTGGAGCTTAGTAGGCAGTGGGGAGCAGATGAAACAATATATATGATCAGGGACCATGTAAGTGAAAGCACATTACAAACCACAAAGCATCTCAAAAATCTACTATCAAAATCCCACAATGTAAAATTTGACTCATTGCCCCTAAATAGGGAAAGCGTTATGCATTTCCTTAAAAATTCTGAATCTTTCATCTCTCCTCTTCCTTTACTATGACTTCCTTTACTGCTCCACTGCTCCTGGGAACTGGCA